AGACAACCTCTCGTCAATATGCGTTTTTTGCATTGCATTGCTGCAAAAAACGCATAATAAATAGCGGTGCGCACCAGGGCAATCGGTACGATCATGCATTTTGCTCAGTTTCGTCCAGCGAATGTTTACCTGCAAAGCAATTTCATTGCTTTACTTAGTTCTGTGCTAAAACAATTGAAATGTTGTCTGATCCCCACAGTGCAAAATTTTTCACGAAAAATCTCACGCGGCGGTACGAGAAAGCTGAATTTAAAACTTTGGACGATGAACATCCTTTCAAAATTCCAATTCCCTAATTTTATGGCTTTTGAGTGACTTTCGCACCAAAACTTTTATTTGGTCGTAAATAAGACCTCGGTATACTTGGGGGCTAAATTTGAGTTTGTGAGGCCCTTACATAGGCAGAAAACATCATTTAGAAATTTTCATCCTCTTAGCTTTTATGGCTCCCGGGACAATAGTTTCTCTGTCAAAGTTTTCAGCATGCCGTATGCATAGGCAAAGGAAGACTGAAATTAAGCGGAGAATATTCCCCTAAATTTTCAGCTTTCTAGCTTTCGCGGTTATCGAGTTGAAAATTGCGGAAAAGATGCATCGGACACACAAATACACATACATACACACACAAACACACACACACACACACACACAACCTGGTGACAATACGCGCTTTGTGCAGCTGTTGCACAGCACAAAACGCATAATTAGCTCAATTTAACCAGTGAAACAGAAAGTCTATTAAATTAATTAAGCACGAAAAAATACCTATGAATTCGCGCTGTGGATCAGTGATGTGATCCCAAATAAAAGTAACAAGTTCGAAATAACCATGTACGATGGCAAACTGGAACACTAGCGAAAGTGTTTGCTTCGGTGCCAAGCCATCCGAGCTGAACATCTCATCCCAAGCTCGTACGCCACCAAGTAGTGCGAACCAAAAATCGTATAGACAGTGCCCAGCCAACTTCCTTCTGAAACATTTTCTGAAAAGTTATCATGAATTTTCGTCTAATTCATAATGAAGCACAACTGCAGAAATCAGCAAAAATAAAAATTGTTCATTAGAGAACTCTGAAAATTATGAAAGGTGAATTATTCGAAAAAATAAAATAAATTACTTATTTGATAACGTCTAATGCACAACCGTGCAAAAAGGATAAGCAATCGAGAGAGTTAAAGTGTGAGCTTCATCACCGATAAATGAGTAAAAAAGCGTTAGGTTATACGCAATTAACCACAGCTGATATATTGCTGTCCATAATGATGGTATGCTCATGCGTCACAAATCCCAAGGATGCTACTGATTCAGGCAATCCATCTCCATTGCGGAGATTATTCGCTAATTTGGAGTTTAACAAATAGCGGCTCGCACAAGGGTGGCTGGTGCGATCATGTGTTTTGTGCAATGCAACCCAGTCGACGCTTGTGCAACCTTGCCCAGATTCTGCAGCTCTGTCCAAACGAACCATGCTGTAAGAAGTGTTTGGTGCTTAACTGTTTGACACATACAGGAATTTTTGTGATTCCCGAGTTATCAATTTTGGCGTCAAAACCTTCACACATCCGTATGTGAGACCTGGGCATGCGTTGTAATTGAATTTATACGCGGGCAGAGAACATTCTCCCAAAATTTCAGCTTCCTAGCTTTTTTGGTTCCGGAGATAATAATTTTTTCCGCCAAGACTTTCTGGAGTCGCATACTTCCGGGAAAGGCTGAAATTAAATTTGGTGCGTCATACATGGGTTGTAAACACTACCCTAAATTTCAAGACCCTGGGATAAAAATTTTCCCGCCAAAACTTCCATGAGGCCTCAAGTGCTACTCAGGCGGATGGAGAGGCTAAAATTAAAATTGCTAGGTCAAACGTGAGCGGGGAACATTCCATTAAAATTTCAGCTTCCTAGCTTTTGCAATTCCCAAGCTGAAAGTTGTGGGCAAAATGCATTGGAGACACACAAACACACATAGACAACCCCGTGTCAGTATGCGTTTTGTGTAGCTACTACATGACAGAAAACGCGCAAAAGAGGCAGGGAAAGGAGAAATCATTGGCGACGCGCACTGGGCGGACCCGCGCGATCATGTTTTTTTTGCAATGTTTCGTGCTGCAATAAGATCACTCGAAATTCCGCTAGCTAGAAACCTCTTTTACACACTGGTCCTCGAATTTCAGGAAGTTAATTATCCACGCCACACTTGGACAGGGAACATTCCCTTGAAATCCCAGGTTCCCAGCTTTCTCAGTTCCCTAGTTATCCAAATTTCAGCCAGATAATTTCACGGGGCCGTACGTGGCAACCACGCATAACGGGGAGCTGAATTTGATAAATTTAATTTGTAGATGAGTTGGGAACATTTCCTGAATGTTTCAGCCTCCCAGCTTCCCTGGTTCCGAAGTTAGCCATTTTCCCGCCAAAAATTTTCATGGGGCCGTACATGGCAACCACGCATAACGGGGGCTAAATTTGATAAATTTAAGTCGTAGATGAACTGGAAACATTCGCTAAAGTTCCAGCCCCCAGCTTTCTTGGTTCCCGAGCTAGCGATTTTCGCGTCAGGAACACTCACGGGGTCGCACGCGGGAAACGCACACACCTGAGAACTGAATTTAAAATCTTTGAGTTCTATATGGGCGGGGAACATAATCCCAAAATTTCAGCTTTCTAGCTTTTCTGGTTCCCAGGTTAGCGACTTTCCCACCTAAACTTTGAGGCGCTCGTACGCAGGGCCTAAACGTGCTTGAGAATTGGTACTGCGGTCCTGGGATGGTACTTGGCCGGGGAACCCACTCGCAAAATCTCGGCGCCACAGCTTGCTTG